CAGGTGTGAGCCAGTGCGCTCAGCCCATAATTGAATATTCTTACAATTTAAACAGTCTTATTAACTGCCAAGGTTTTCGGTCTTATATTTAACTTTCTTCCACTTAACTAAAAGACTTCACTACCTCACAGCTCTAAAATCAGTAGGTTACATATGCAAAAGAAAAGTTAATGCTGAAGAAAGAGGCTGCAAGTATTTGACTTCATTCATAGCAAAGTAGAAATATTAAGTCTATTTAAATGGAGTTATGGCATGGAGTCGAGGGTGGAACTTAGAGTCAATTGAGAGTTTTGCACTATGCGTATTTTTAGTCAACTAATCAATAAGCATTTCTCAAGTGCCAAAGACACAGATCCAAAACAGAGTATAAGGTGTTATTGTCATACGGTATAACTCACCCTTAGCAAACCACGTCCTGTTTCCTGCACATCAAACTTTAATCACACACATATACACATGGAAACAGTTTACATTAAAAATGGAAACATAACCTTAAATTATTTCTGCCATATTTTATTGTGCTTTTGCATGTATCCTAATCCCTTAATGGTGCTACCATTTTAAGATAACTATTTTACCCATCAATATCCAGTAATGAGTATTTTAAAAATGAAACCTCTATAATTTTGGTTGCTGGATAATATAATCTTAAAAATTGGTCTCTAAAATTTATTAGAACCATAAGTATATCTTCAAGCAGTATCTTTAACAGTAAATATTTACACATTCTTTCCCAAAGCTTATACCCTAAACATAGAAACAGTTTACCCATGTTCTTTACAGATTCCTGTAATTGCTAGAAAAGTCTAAATCGCTTCTGAGAAAACGATAAAAAATTAAGCCAATAAGTGATTTTTGATATGTTCTCCTAAGCTAAATTTTTTATTTGAAAAATGTTTCAGGGCAAATAGTAAATATTGGTTTATGTGGTATAGATTTTTGCTTCTTATGTGAATACATATACTAAGACCATTTGTTATATCATCTTCTTCATGTAATTTTTTTAGAGCTTAATATCTCCTGCCTCCAGTTAATATGAAGAAAAATTATAGTTTTCTTTTCTATTTGATATCATTACAATAGATATCATTTGAAAAATGTAACAGAGGCCCCCAGACGTGAGCAAAGTCCTCCCGTCTTCAATAGGTAATTATTTAATTTGTCATGCTAAAAATAAGCAGACCTGGAAATTTGCCATATTAAACAAGGACAATTTTTTCTAAAATGCATTCATTCACTTAATTGTTAAAATACCCGTCTGTTCTTTTAAACTAAGTTGTCTGGCAAGATACATACATATATTTAAGCCACTTATATAGGTCAGCTAATACGGGTTATGCTTTTTAAAGCATCATCTGACTAAGCACATTCTGCATTTTGCTAACAAAGTTATAGTACATAATATTTTAATTAACCAAAAAGAACAATAACAGATCTGAATGTTGGGCTGATAATCGTCTTATCACACCCTGTGAAACCTAGCTCTAATATTTGACGGAGCCTCCATTACTTGGCAACCCATTCTAAAAAAGGCCAACAATGGAGAGAGAATGAAGTGGAGTGTGCAGTACCTCCGTATCTACATAAAAGAGATTAGAGGCGACAGCGTTCCATTTTACAGCTCAATCATATTGTGTTAGCATGCGCTTATCCGAGCGCGGACGAAATTGAAAGAGAAATAAAAAAGAGTCAGGCAGATAGGAACCAGAAAAGCGAGGCATGAGCAATTTCCAAGGATATAAAAGGATGCTAATGGCTGGGCCCTGTCATTCTTAAAAAGGGCTATTAGGGCACCATCATCTGTTCTTGTGCCCTTATGCTCCTCCAACTAAAGTCAAGCATTTTCTAAAGCCCTTGTGATCTTTTTTCTTCTTTAGATAAAGTATGGTCATGTTTCATAACAACATACTTTCCCATTTATATGATTTATTAATGTAAGTCAACTAATTCTATTTACTGATAAAACCCCTTCCATATGTATTTTCAATATTTTCTTTTGTTGTATTTGTCACTTTTTTATGTAGCAAAGGAAAGTGTATAAAAGTATAATAGAAGCAGCACAGAAAAGCTACTCATTTTAGATGCTAAATTTAATTTTAAATATATATATATGTATGGGTATAATTATACAAACTGAGAAGAGCATAAAGATAACAGAGGCTTGAATTTTAGTATATTAAAAAATGACTTCACTTTAACATAAGCTTTACGAAAACAAAGAGTTTTAAAGTTAAGACCAAAACAGATGAAATTTCAGTTCTGATTTGGCTTTAATTCTGACTATGACCCCAGTGATCAGGACTGGTTCATGTGATCAAGGACACAATTTCACTTTTATCAAGGCAGAAACGTGACTTTAATCTTTACTTTCGCCATGTCTCTCACTCCACACAGTTGCTGGTCCTCTAACGACCAACGTCCTGAACCCACGGTAAAGCAGCGGCACACTTTGATACCAGAGCACCCTCTCCTTCTATCTCAAGCACTGCATGGCAGAGGTATTGTTAAAAAATTTTTTTTTAATTTCTGTTAACTCTTGTTTTGCTAATCCCTTTCTGAAAAGCCAAGATATTCCTCAAAATCATTTAAAACACCCTCAGGGGATCATGAAAATCAGAGCTGTGAATCATCACTCCACAGTGAACTCTTCTGGCATTTGCTATAGAGAGAGAATAACGTCAGTCCCCACCAATTCTAAGCCTCAGCTTAAGACCGAATCCATAATCGTATAGTAATTGTTTCCACCACTGGAAATGGTGTTACTCATAGCTATTTAAAGTTGCTATCTTTACTAAAGTCACTAGAGCCCCTTTACTGTGACAAGTCCCTTTGTAAGCTGACATTTCTACTTGGATGCATAGTCGGACCCACAAATCTATCACTGACTTTCCTTACTAGAAAGTTCAAAAGAAATTTTTGACTTTTATTGATCTTTAATATGTTTTATCAAACTGATATCAAAAGATTGGCTTTACAGATCAGGGAGAACTTGAGCAGAATACTCTGAAATAATGGGTAGTGTGGAACCACAGTGACATAGCATTTCATGCTGTTGTTAATAACAACACTATCATCATTATCATTTTGAAGTAGTTTATTTAAATGCCATCAACTAGAGACTAAAATATCTTGATTCTCCTCCAGGAAGCCATGCTGAAGGTACTGGATACATCTGTGAACTTGTGCTAGTGTTCTTACCTCTCTCCGCTTCAAATCTCCCTATCTTCTAATTGAAAACAATGATACCTGGTTCCTGGATTAGAACAACGGCTTTTGAGTTGTGGGAGGAGGGTCAGGCTGGTGCCCTTTCACCTCCTGGAGGACATTTGGCAGTGTATGAAGACATTTTTGTTTCTCACAATTCAGGGTGCTACTGGCATCTAGTGGGTAGAGGCCATGGGTGCCGCTAAACCTCCTATAATGAGCAGGGCAGCCCCTCATGACAAAGAATTATCTTGTCCCAAGTATCAATATTGCCAAGGCTGAGACACCCTGGGTGAAAATAATTATATTTAATATGTATATAATAATATGTTAATATAAATTACGTATATCAATTATCTAAAGAAGTATGGACACTTCAACCAATGTTAGTCTTGTATTTTTGGTCTCTCAAACCCTTCACTAACACTTTCCTTACAAATACGTTTTCTTATACTGTTGAAGTACATTCTGGCTGTTCCCACTGCCCTAGTCAACAATTGTCTTACATCTTGTAATAAATCCTTTCTTTTTATTTTTCTAAAAGTCATGTAGATGTGATTATAATCCAACTGCAATATCAAATATCTACAGGATCAAATTCTTAGTCTTCCTTTAGATGTAGTAATCCTTGGGTAGGTGTCTTCTAAAGAATATACAAGCTCACCTATTTAAGTAGTTTTGACTTAATTTGGGGGGGTTTATTAGCAAACAGTGTAAGACAAAGTAGCTGGTATAATACAGTGTGATGTTTAAATTAGTTTACAATTTGCTTGGCCTCATCTAGAACTGCAACGAACAAAGCCATTCAGAAATGTCAGCTGTGTTCCTAACCACTGTAACAAATTGTCGCCTGAACGCTGCACACCTAATGACTTCAAATTAGCTTCACTGCGGTATCGCCTGACAGTTCGTTACGACTGTTAGCAACATAGCTGGCGTATCATGACCAATAAATTGGTTTCAGTGTGGGCTGGGAAAGGGACTTCCATCAATTTGATTAAAGAAATTACTGTAGCATTCAAAGCATAAAGACAAACTAGTTTAAGGAGACAGAAATAAGTTAACTGTACCAGAAAAACATTGCTCATCATTCAAAAATTTGTTTATAAACTATTTGAAAATTAAAGACCAAACAAAAAATAATTCAAGTAGAATACTTAAATTCTCAAAACTTACAAGCATGTATATATTTATTCATATTACAAGATGAGTCAAGGAAAAAAAAGAAGAGAAATATTTTTAAATGCGAACTTTACCACAAAGGAAAAGTTACCATGTGCAGTTAATATTTATTTTCACAATTTATCTGTGCAGTTAAGATAAATATCAAACAGTAAACCAAAGCAAAGCTTGTGACTATGACTAGCAATTGAATATAACTAGCTACTATGAGCAAAACTAGTGATTCCTCATTGAGAAAATAGTACATTAGACTACCTCTGACAAAAACACTTTTTAAAGTGCAAAAGAAAAGGAGACGTATTTGCTAGGATAAAGGTAAGAAGTTTAACAAAAGATAAAAATTTTTTTTTAAATTTATAATCTTGTTAGCTTACACTGGCAGTAGTACCCGTCGTACATATGAAAAACTAACACGAACTCAAGATGGTACCAATATAACTGATATACACTTTAAGGATTCTATTAGGATATGCAAAGCTCTAAATTATGATTAAAAATAAACATAAAGATTTTTTTGTTAAGTCCAAATGAGAAAAATTTGAATTTGCCCAAATCTATATACATAACCTAGGGAATTAATTGCAAACTTTTCTTTTTCTTTTTAGAAAATGTACCTGGAATATGCTTCGCCCATCCGATGATAACCACCAACTCGCGGTCTGCCAAGTCACACAGTGTAGTGAGGGCTTTAATGTCACTGTCGGGGACAGTCGGGTCAGGCATGGCATAGATCTTCTCCGGTTCAGCCACCAACAAATGTGAGACAATCTTGTTATCTGCAGGATCAGACCAGAGCACTACAAGATCACTAGCAGTATCATCCCTCTTTTATAAACCCTAGAGTATTTTGTGTTTTGAAAAACAATTCAAATAGCCTACAATAAACCTTAAATATTCCAATTATGGCTGACATGCATATATTACACAGTGTTCAGGAAAACTCAGAGCCAGACATAAGCCACTGCAGTCATGATAGAATGTAGTCATTTTTTCTTCTTTGCTCTACCTGCTTTGGGCTGGAATGAAGCATCTGTCCTGTAGTGAAAATGTTTATAGCAAACAGATAAGAGAAGTTAGATGCTTTCTGAGTTTGTGCTTTGATTCTTAAGTGGGATTTGGGGAAGTAGATTAAATGGTATACAACAGCTTACAATAAAACCCCCTGGACACCATTGAAATATAGACTATAACGCAGGCGGCAAAGAACTACTAATGCCCATAGTCATAATGGGCATGAAAGTCATTAATTGTCTTAATTCCTTTAAAGAAGAGCAAAGGTCAGAGCCCTTCTGCCTTGGTGAATTACTGACTATATAACTCTATCTCCGTGGGATGCATTAAATAGGAATTTCTTCTTTCTACCGCTCCCCACACATCCAGCCAACCTTCCAAATACAGCTAATATGTTTCCATAAAAATACTCCTACTTAAATGTTACAGTCATTTTCCCTCCTGTGTGTCAAATTCTTTAATCCTCTATTTTCATCTGTTGTCCTTAGTTCATTCTCTGGTTCAGATTTATCTGTCTGAAATTTGTGATATATGCTTTAAAAATCCTTCACAAAATAAACACTAGAGACAAATGGAAAGCATCACATCAAATGTGTTTTATTGCTCAGGGGCATGTGAGAGTTTATGGAAGGGGCTGTAAAGGCTTGCTAACACAATGATTTTTCTTGTTGGACCTATTTTCAATTTCTATATGTAGCTGAAGATTTTATACTTTCTTCTAAGTGAGGAGATACAAATGGGTAAGAATAAACCCATATATTTAAATGTTCTATGTACTATTACTGTAGAAACCAGGACTTTAAATGAGATTCTTGTGAACACAGCCAAAGTTCCCAATGTGTTTACCAGACTCTGCCTTTTGCTGTAAGTTTTTAACTTTTTAACCCAATATAAAAGACTTCACATAACTTAGAATTAAACATAGCATTCTTTTTATCTCCTTTCATGAAAGAATGAGACTTGTCCAAGCTATCGTTTGCACTTTTTCTAACATAACATTTAAAAATTTCTAAATACGGCTCCCATATTAATTAGACTTATTTCAAATAGACAACAGATAATATTCAGTCATCATCAAATGGAGTAGGCAGATTTGGGAGGAAAGATTCCCCAATACTGTTTTCTAGAAAAGAATTAAAAATTAAATAGAAATTAATTTTCAATCTGCAGGATCTACAGAAAATGCCATTCTTTTAAATATGCTACAGAAATAACACCCTGTATTTTTAGTTATGCTTGGAAAAGTTTCAACTTTCATTGCTCTGACAATGCAACAAAACCTGTCAGCAACCACTAGATTCTCAGGATTAGAAGCAAATACAATAGTAAAGAGCAGAAAAACATATCCAAAAGTAATCGTGATCCCAGTTTTTTTTAGGACAGGGAACATAGCTCTGGCTTTACCCGAGTCAATGGATACTTGACATGAGCGGTCAGAGAAATTTGGTTGAAGTTTAGAAATTCCCATCATTCAGAAAATGGAATGGCCGGCAGCACTGTTTCTAGGTAAATCTTATTTAATGTTTCCCTAATTAGAATCAATAGAACCCAATTTTCATTCTTGGGCCTTTGTAGTACACAATCAGCCAGGGTCCAGAAATCTCCCCAGCCACTTTCTCAGAAAAGCTTGAGCATAGTCTCTTGACACTTATCTGACAGGATCTGAAAATTAAGTTTTATAAATGTTTGTTACAAAAACACACTAATTGGATGGACTAAGGAAAATTAACACAGAGGCCTTTAGATAATGAGTAATGATTTATTAGGAGTCCTCTTTATCTCAGACAAATGGAGCTCACTGAAATTGCTGTAATCTTCTTAGAGGTACTTGACAAGCCACTTCCCAATTTCTCAGGTTTACGAAGAAAACTATAGATGTTTCTCTATCCTTTCAACTTACAAATGGGGTGGCGCTCATTTTTTTTTCAGTAGAGGAAATTATCAATGGTTTCAGTCAACGTTTGTATAAAATAAATGAGAAACGGGCAGTCTGTATATTAGTGAATTCAGGAAAACTAAACCTCTAATGAAATTAAGCATTAGTGTTTATTGCATTTTATTGTATTATCAGAGAGTTTTTCATTATAATGTGCAAAATCTGCTTAATGCAGTCCTCGATTGTATTTGCAGAATGCCAAACGGCTTATGCAGGCTGAGGAGAAGATGCCAGATTGGACAATTGAAGGTATAATCAACATAATGTTTTTTGGAAAGGCGAAAGGAAACTATGCCATATGTTCACTTAAGCTTTAATTTTATGTAAAACTGGTTGTTTTTCCTTTGACATAGCTCAAATGTCCTTTCATTTACAGTTCAGGGTCTGTTTTATTTATTTAACAGATTCCCATATGCTCACATATGTATGATGCACAGCAGTGACCCCTCCTGGAGAATCTGAATTAGAAGTAGACACCTCTTCCTTTGAAGGCAGATCAAAAATTACCCATGTCTTTCCTAGAGCTGCTATAGATGTGGTTTCCTCTGGTGAGTGCCAGTTGTGTCTTCTTAGACAAAGAGAGCTAAATGTGAGAACTGTTTTCACCAAAGCACTCCTCCAGGCCCAGCAGGAACCCTATTCATAAACATCCTAAAACGCTAGTTCTATTGCCCTACAACTATTAACTGATTTTCAGAAAATGGGACACAGTTATTGCCTCAATCTATAGTCCAACTCTTTTTTAGTTAATGACAAAAAGAATGGGGCTTGCATTGTACCAGTCATCTTTTCAAATTGCAACTTGGCCACATAAAACCATGAGCTCTTTAAAAACAATTCATACCGCCCATAAGGGCATCTCAGATGGAACCAGCAACCTATGCTTGTTATTAGTAGTGCTCATTCTTGTTTTAATCTATTGCTAGCTAGTGTGTTAACCTTCTATAGCTTCAAATTAATGAGGCCCCTAATGTATTTTCATTGGGAGGTTGAGCAGTCAAACTCATTTAGTTAGTGAAAACTACAAAAATCACTTTCTTGTGAAATCTGAAACTAACAGCTCCAATGAACTAATGATCACAGTATGATCCATTTTATGTACCTCTGCAAATAAAGATAACCAGTAAACGTAAAATTCACACTGTATAAGCCATGCATTAATATGCTTATGCTTCCACAAATGACTAGGTAAAAAGAAGGCTGGAGAGAGAAAACCACAGATATCTTTAAAAGAAAAAACAAGATAATTAGCTGAGTTTCTGTTGCTCCTCACGGACAATCCTTGGGAATAGAGCCACTGTTCTCCAACAAAGAGAAGTCTCCTTGGAGTCAGTAGGGATGAGCATGCCAAAGCTGATGTACGTAGGGCCAACTGGGAGGATTTCACGTTCTGGGAAGCCAGGCACATCTGCTGTACTTACATGGCTTTTTGGCTGGCTGAACCAGCTGAGGGTTCAGGTATGGGCTGTTCTCCGCATCTATTCTGCGCTTGTACTTCTGCCGACCTCCACGTACTCTGTCAAGACGCACCCCTGTGAGCAAAAACAGGCACCAGCTTACTATTAAGGTAGCTATCTTTGAGACCAATCAAATACATAGACAATACCCCCCAAGGGCACATAGGTGACAAAGTAGGATGCAGAATAGACCAGGGGTACTAGAATAATGTAAATAAGTGGTGGCTAAACCAAAATTGCCAGAAGTTGAAAACCAAATCTGCCAGCAGATGACAGACCCAAAAGACATTTTAGGCAAAGCCATCAAGGTCACTATTTGCACATCAAAGAAAAGGCTGATTTTTGTGTGGATTGAGAAGCCACTATTTGGTGGTAGTATAGTTTCTTAAAGACACTGGAATTTTGTATCCTCTTCATCAGTCAGCCCTGAAAGCTCAATGTGTAGGTCCAAGTAGATCAAGAGCTATCCAACTCTCCTCCAGTCTTTCAGAGGTCTCAGTATGGACCTGTGGAATTGAGCTGAATAAACAGCATCCCAGCACTTCCGGAGGCCGAGGTGGGCAGGTCACGAGGTCAGGAGTTCAAGACCAGCCTGGCCAACATAGTGAAACCCATCTCTACTAAAACATACAAAAACATTAGCCAGGCATGGTGGTGTGTGCCTGTAGTCTCAGGCTTGGGAGGCTGAGGCAGGAAAATCACTTGAACCTGGGAAGTAGAGGCTGCAGTGAGCCAGATCACACCATTGTACTCCAGCCTGCATGACAGAGTGAGACTTCTTCATCTCCAAAAAAAAAAAAAAAGAACACCTATGTGTTGGGAAGAAGGAGGCTGGAATTATACTGGACAAGATTCAGTCCTGTGAGATGCAAGAATTGTTCCATATCAAAATGTCAATACGTCTCTGAAGGGGAATGTTATTTACATTTTGGCACAAATTTGTATTTCCTCTTATATATAAAAAAAAACTGACAGCAGGTATAGGCTGAATACAGGACAGAAACAGGAGCTTCCCAGCTGGGCTTGGTAGCTCACACCTTTAATCCCAGCACTTTGGGAAGCCGAGGTGGGCAGATCACCTGAGGTCACCACTTCAAGACCAGCCTGACCAACATGGGGAAATCCCATCTCTACTAAAACTACAAAACTGACCTACTGTGGTGACACATGCTACTAGGGAGTCTGAGGCAGGAGAATCACTTGGACACGGGAGGCACAGATCTTGTGGTGAGTCAAGATCGTGCCATTGCACTCTAGCCTGAGCAACAAGAGCAAAACTCGATCTCAAAAAAAAATAAAGAGGAGCTTCCCAAAGAGTTCCAAAGGCCAGGATGTCGAAGGAAGGGCACGTTAATAGGACAGAACTAAAGGGTGAAGCTGGAAAGTAGGCAAAAGTAGTCTGTCAGGAATAAAACTTTTTCCCAAAAAGTGATGAGTTGGGTCAAGATTCAAAGGGGATTTTCTGGCAGTGGACTTAAAAGATTAAGGAAAAAACCAAGAAAATGAATGGGATTAAAAATACAGGAAAATTTCATTAATATAAGGAAGTGATAGGGAAGAGCTTGTTAATAATCTAGTTTCCAGTCTGTCATTATAAAGTTTAGCACGGGACCACATAAATCCCTACCAAATATAAGATGATTACTTGGGAGCAGAAGTGAAGAGACACTCTTTTTATGGTATTAGGTTGTACCTTAATTGATATAAAAATGTAAAATTATCCATTAATAAGGCCAACCATGTAATTCATTGTACATATTTTGGTATTTCTCAAACTGTTTAGGAAAGAGACTTGGTTTAACAGCATCCTCAGTATTACCATTGTTACTTAAGGCCTCTCAGAGCCATTAACATGCAAGGGCTCTGTGAAACTCCAAGAGGAAGATACATAGGACATGCAATGTTTTGCAAACCAATTGAACCGGAGCTGGGTTTTTTTGGAATACTTGTTAATGTCATGCAGAATGTGTGAGTTGTGGGTTATCTGAGTTATATGAAACAATCTGGCAAAGGAAGATATATTTCTATATGAATACTTACAGTAAGTATATTTCTTAAATATTAAAGATTATTAGGAAAATAATTTTTCATATTATCTTGATAATACTACTTTAAGAGTTGATTATCTTTTAGTGAACACACAAATATTTGGTTCTAGGTAACGCCTGAATTGTCATATTGAAACATCAGAATATAGTGTAAATAAAATCAGGAAAAAACTTTGAGAAAAGTTAAATAGGTTAAACAAACAAATATCAAAAACCAAAAGTTGGGTATGGTTATTAACCATTCACTGAACATTGCCATGCATGTTGGTCACAAAGAAGTTTTATATATATATATATATATATATATATATATATATATATTTTTTTTTTTTTTTTTTTTTTTTGAGACGGAGTTTCGCTCTTGTTACCAGGCTGGAGTGCAATGGCGCGATCTCAGTTCACGGCAACCTCCACCTCCTGGGTTCCGGCAATTCTCCTGCCTCAGCCTCCCGAGTAGCTGGGATTACAGGCACGCACCACCATGCCCGGCTAATTTTTTGTATTTTTAGTAGAGACGGGGTTTCACCATGTTGACCAGGATAGTCTAGATCTCTTGACCTCGTGATCCACCCGCCTTGGCCTCCTCCCAAAGTGCTGGGATTACAGGCGTGAGCCACTGTGCCTGGCCATTATTTTTTTTTTTATTGCTGCCTTTAAAGCGCTTCATGCCTGGAGCAGGTGTATTCCTTTGTTCACCTAATTCCTAATGTTCTATTTTTATTGCGTCTATATTTAATAAAGTTCAACGCCTTCTACGTCTCTCCACTTTTATCATGATTTATCTTTTTTCCATCTTTCTCTTCAAAATTTTCTTCAGAATGTTTTTCCAGTTGAGGGTGACCACATTTTATCTGGTCATCTAAGACACGTTCAAACCTATTTCATTACATGAGTTTTGCAAATTCAAAATCTTACTAAAAAAATAAAAGCATATGACACTAATTATATCCTCACATATTTGTCATCCAGTTCCAACCCAATGAGAACATTTAATCTGATATTATTAGAACTGCCAAGAGAAGGCAGGGAGAGAGAAACTGACAGCAAAAGCTAAAGAGAGAGGAAACATTTTTGGACATCTCTATAATTGTTAGAGCCAAGAAAGCTGAACGAATACCCTGATTGGGTCTGTAGACTCCCAAAATTGGCCTTTCATGCTTGTCAAAAAATGTATTCACCATTAGCAATATGTCCTCATACATTGAACAAAACACTACATATTCTCTAACCTAGAAGTCAGAGCTGGTGAGTTTCTGACAATAGAGTTTTATCCATCATGAAGGCCTGTGGAAGAAGATCGTGACTGAGTGACTTGACTCAAGGTCTTGGTGGAAAACAATTCAGACATTCAGCTATATCACATTAAAGCCATAAGGTGGTTTAGCCAACTGGGCTAAGTCTACAGAGAAAGAGCAACAGTGAAAACTAGATATTATACATCACGAAGAAAAAATGTGCATCATTGATTGACAGGGTTTTTATTATGTGTTACAGGTTTTTTTTGTATTGGTAGAGACTCATTCTTTAAATATTATCAAATACATTCCATTACTATGCATTTCTATTTCAACTTCAGAAGGTGACTACAGAAAAATTCATATTACCTATTCCATGCCTCACAAATAAATCTAAGAGGGTGCTCTCTTATGTATCTACCCCACATCCCTTCCTGTGTGTGTGTAGATCAATAATATATATCCACACACTCATACATCTGTTTCAACCTTCCCATCTATCCATTCATTCATCCTAACTATACACCTATCTAGTGAAAAACTTTTCACGTAAGTCATGATTTTACACTTTATTTCCTAAAATAAAGATTAATTGGACAATGCATTCTTTTATGATTTGTAATTTTATTTATATGATAGTACAAAAAGATTAGCTATTTAGACTCATAAAAACAGATCACATAATTATATAGTAAGAGTTGACAGGGACTCCGTATGCAGTAATATTCTCCTCAAGTTTAGATAATAATGAATGGTAAAAATTTCTAGAGCAAATATATTTTAAAGGCTCATCATAACTGATACTTGTGAATTTTTCATTCCCTGTCAAAAGCAGGCAAATATTTCCAATTTCAAATATTTCAAATAAAGTAGAAAACATTACTACTGCCTTTAACTCATTTTCAAAATCTGGAAAAAATCTGCCTTTTATACATTGTGTAGTGGGATAATTTTATTATTGGTAACTTTTGGTTTATCTGACTTCATACTTGGTGAACTGTTGGAATCAAAATCCTAGTAACACACAGATGCAACGACTTCTACATCATACTGAAAGTAATCATCAATTTATTCAGCTACATTGAGGGAAAAACACTACCAGTAAAACCAGTTTTGTCCTTCAGGACAATCACATAAACACCTACACACAAGGGACACAGGTCTGAAAGTTGAAACAGTCCAAAATGTGTCTTCAAACATGTGACAAAGCCTCTTTGTTTCTGCAACACTGAAAATAGGTTCATTCATGTAACTCATCATAATATATGCCCTTAAATTCAATAATGTTATTTTAAATGGTCTTATAAAGCAATACTCTACAGATATCCTTAAGATATTTGTATAGTTTCAACATAATTCTATTTGTAATGTTTTTCCAGAAAAAGAAATTAAAAAATAATTAAAAACACCAATACAATTAGAGCACCATGTCATAAATGAGGCAGGATCTCAGAAAATCAAACATTGGGTTATAAAAAAGCACCTCTCATAATTTTTGGAAAAGTCAATGGAAAAGAAACTCTGCATAATTGGGATACTACATTTCTTCTTATTAGAAAGCAAATTTTGTTGTGATAAAGGTAGATTGCAAAGGACAGAAGTATTTAACTAAAAAGTAATGCTATGAAGTTTAAAATATTCTAAGTCAAAAGCATTGAATGTCAATTCTATCTCTATCACCATTTCCTGGACATAGACTTAAGCCATGATTTCTCATTAGGAGGAATACACGCAAATAATGTTTTGAGTTAAAAACAAATATAAATCTAATAAAAGTGAGAAGAGGCCAGGA